TGCTACGTTCCCCAACAGTGGCATCATGAGCTAGGTCTATTGCGTAGATTCTTTGCACGAGTAGAACACAAAGTAGTTGTGGGCATTGATGTTGTTCAATATGCTTACCGTTACTAGTCCAATCTTGTTTCGACGGTATTGTGGGATGAAGCGGCCCGGACCGACCTTACACGTACTCTTACGTGAGACAGGTTCCACCGATTGACATGCACTTGGTGCATAAGGTGGCTAGCGGGTGCCAGTCTCTCCCACTTTAGTCGGAACGGATTCGATGAAAAGGGTCCTTATGAAGGGTAAATAGCAATTGGCATATCACGTTGTGGTCTTGCGTAGGTAAGAAACGTTCTTGCTAGAAACCCATAGCAGCCACGTAAAACATGCAACAACAATTAGAGGACGTCTAACTTGTTTTTGCAGGGTATGCTATGTGATGTGATATGGCCAAAAGGATGTGATGAATGATATATGTGATGTATGAGATTGATCATGTTCTTGTAATAGGATTCACGACTTGCATGTCGATGAGTATGACAACCGGCAGGAGCCATAGGAGTTGTCTTTATTTATTGTATGACCTACGTGTCATTTAACAACGCCATGTAAATTACTTTACTTTATTGCTAAACGCGTTAGCCATAGAAGTAGAAGTAGTCGTTGGCGTGACAACTTCATGAAGACACGATGATGGAGATCATGATGATGGAGATCATGGTGTCAAGCCGGTGACAAGATGATCATGGAGCCCCGAAGATGAAGATCAAAGGAGCTATATGATATTGGCCATATCATGTCACTACTCTATTTGATTGCATGTGATGTTTATCATGTTTATGCATCTTGTTTGCTTAGAACGACGGTAGTAAATAAGATGATCCCTCATTAAAATTTCAAGAAGTGTTCTCCCCTAACTGTGCACCGTTGCTACAGTTCGTCGTTTCGAAGCACCACGTGATGATCGGGTGTGATAGATTCTTACGTTCACATACAACGGGTGTAAGACAGTTTTACACAGCGAAAACACTTAGGGTTAACTTGACGAGCCTAGCATGTGCAGACATGGCCTCGGAACACGGAGACCGAAAGGTCGAGCATGAGTCGTATAGCAGATACGATCAACATGAAGATGTTCACCGACGTTGGCTAGTCCGTCTCACGTGATGATCGGACACGGCCTAGTTGACTCGGATCATGTGATCACTTAGATGACCAGAGGGATGTCTATCTAAGTGGGAGTTCATAAGATGAACTTAATTATCCTGAACATAGTCAAAAGACCTTTTGCAAATTATGTCGTAGCTCGCGCTTTAGTTCTACTGTTTTAGATATGTTCCTAGAGAAAATATAGTTGAAAGTTGATAGTAGCGATTATGCGGACACTAGAAAGCTCATGTCCTTAATGCACTGCTCAGTGTGCTGAACCCCAAACGTCGTTTGTGGATGTTGCGAACATCGGACATACACGTCTTGATAACTACGTGATAGTTCAGTTAAACGGTTTAGAGTTGAGGCACCAAAGACGTTTTCGAAACGTCGCGGAACATATGAGATGTTTCGAGGGCTGAAATTGGGATTTCAGGCTCGTGCCCACGTCAAGAGGTATGAGACCTCCGACGATTTTCTTAGCCTGCAAACTAAGGGAGAAAAGCTCAATCGTTGAGCTTGTGCTCAGATTGTCTGAGTACAACAATCACTTGAATCAAGTGGGAGTTAATCTTCCAGATGAAATAGTGATAGTTTCTCCAAAGTCATTGCCACCAAGCTGCTAGAGCTTCGTGATGAACTATAACATATCAGGGATAGACATGATGATCCTTGAGGTATTCACGATGTTTGACACCGCGAAAGTAGAAATCAAGAAGGAGCATCAATTGTTGATGGTTGGTGAAACCACTAGTTTCAAGAAGGGCAAGGGCAAGAAGGGATACTTCATGAAACGGCAAATCAGCTGCTGCTCCAGTGAAGAAACCCAAGGTTGAACCCAAACCCGAGACTAAGTGCTTCTGTGATAAGGGGAACAACCACTGGAGCAGAATTACCCTAGATACTTGGTAGATAAGAAGGCTGGCAAGGTCGATAGAAGTATATTGGATATACATGATGTTAATGTGTACTTTACTAGTACTCCTAGTAGCACCAGGGTATTGGATACCGGTTTGGTTGCTAAGTGTTAGTAACTCGAAATAAAAGCTACGGAATAAACGGAGACTAGCTAAAGGTGAGCTGACGATATATGTTGGAAGTGTTTCCAAGGTTGATATGATCAAGCATCGCACGCTCCCTCTACCACCAAGATTGGTGTTTGCGTTGAGCATAGACATGATTGGATTATGTCTATCGCAATACGGTTATTCATTTAAGGAGAATAATGGTTACTCTAATTTTTGAATAATACCTTCAATGGTCTTGCACCTAAAGGGTTTATTGAATCTCGGTCGTAGTGATACACATTTTCATGCCAAAAGATATAAGATAGTAATGATAGTACCACTTACTTGTGGCACTGCCATGTAAGTCATAATGGTATAAAACGCATGAAGAAGCTCCATGTTGATGGATCTTTGGACTCACTCGTTTTTGAAAAGTTTGAGACATGCGAACCATGTCTATTGGTGTATATGCATGAAGAAACTCCATGCAAATGGACCGTTTGGACTCACTTGATTTTGAATCACTTGAGATATGCAAATCATACCACATGGGCAAGATGACTGAAAAGCCTCGTTTTCAATAAGATGGAACAAGATAGCAACTTGTAGGAAGTAACACATTTTGATGTGTGCAGTCCAATGAGTGCTAAGGCATGCAGTGAATATCGTTATGTTCTTACTTCACAGATGATTCGAGTAGATGTTGAGAATATTTACTTGATGAAACTCAAGTCTGAATTATTGAATGGTTCAAGTAATTTCAGAGTGAAGTAGAAGATCATTGTGACAAGAGGATAAAATGTCTATGATACGATCATAGAGATGAATATCTGAGTTATGAGTTTTGGCACACAATTAAGACATTGTGGAAATTGTTTCATAATTAATACCGCCTGGAACACCATAGTGTGATGGTGTGTCCGAACATCATAGTTGCACCCTATTGGATATGGTGCGTACCATGATGTCTCTTATCGAATTACCACTATCGTTCATGGGTTAGGCATTAGAGACAACCACATTCACTTTAAATAGGGCACCACGTAATTCCGATGAGATGACACCGTATGAATTATGGTTTAGAGAAACCTAAGTTGTCGTTTCTTAAAGGTTTGGGGCTGCGACGCTTATGTGAAAAAGTTTCAGGATTAAGCTCGAACCCAAAGCGGATAAAATACATCTTCATAGGACACCCAAAACAGTTGGGTATACCTCCTAATTCAGATCCGAAAGCAATATGAATTGTTTCTTGAATCGGGTCCTTTCTCGAGGAAAGGTTTCTCTCGAAAGAGTTGAGTGGGAGGATGGTGGAGACTTGATGAGGTTATTGAACCGTCTCTTCAACTAGTGTGTGGCAGGGCACAGGAAGTTGTTCCTGTGGCACCTACACCAATTGAAGTGGAAGCTTATGATATTGATCATGAAACTTCGGATCAAGTCACTACCAAACCTCGTAGGACGACAAGGACACGTACTACTTCGGAGTGGTAAGGTGATCCTGTCTTGGAAGTCATGTTGCTAGACAACAATGAACCTACGAGCTATGGAGAAGCGATGGTGGGCCCGGATTCCGGTAAATGGCTTGAGGCCATAAAATCCGAGAGAGGATCCATGTATGAAAACAAAGTGTAGACTTTGGCAGAACGGCTCGATGGTCGTAAGGCTAATAAGTACAGATGGATTTCAAAAGGAAGACGGACAATGATGGTAAATGTCACCATTAAGAAAGCTCGACTTGTCGTTAAGATGTTTTCCGACAAGTTCAAGGAGTTGACTACGATGAGATTTTCTCACTCGTAGCGATGCTAAGAGTCTGTTGGAATTATATTAGCGATTACTGCATTATTTATGAAATCTTGCAGATAGGATGTCAAAACATTGTTTCCTCGACGATTTTATTGAGGAAAGGTTGTATGTAATACAACCGGAAGGTTTTGTCAATCCCGAAAGATGCTAATAAGTATGCTAGCTCCAGCGATCCTTCTAAGGACTGGAGTGAGCATCTCGGAGTTGGAATGTATGCTTTGATGATGATCAAAGATTTTGGGTTTGTACAAAGTTTACGAGAAACTTGTATTTCCAAAGAAGTGAGTGGGAGCACTATAGAATTTCTGATGAGTATATGTTGTTGACATATGGTTGATCAGAAATGACGTAGAATTTCTGGAAAGCATATAGGGTTATTTTGAAAGTGTTTTTCAATGGAAAGCCTGGATTAAGCTGCTTGAGCATTGAGCATCAAGATCTATAAGGATAGATCAAAACGCTTAATGGTACTTTCAAATGAGCACATACCTTGACATGATCTTGAAGGTGTTCAAGATGGATCAGTCAAAGAAGAAGTTCTTGCCTGAATTGTAAGGTACGAAGTTAAGACTTAAAGCTCGACCACGGCAGAATAGAGAGAAAGGACGAAGGTCGTCCCCTATGCTTGAGACGTGGGCTCTTCAGTATGCCATGCTGTGTACCGCACCTGAAGTGTGCCTTGCCATGAGTTAGTCAAGGGGTACAAGAGTGATCCAAGAATGGATCATAGGACAGCGGTCAAAGTTATCCTTAGTAACTAGTGGACTAAGGAATTTTCAGATTGGGCTTGTACATAATCTACTTCTTTGAGCTTAATCGTCAAGATGGTGTAGGTGTATAGGAAGTCATGATAAACTTGTCTCGTGCTCTTTTCCACTTTTGGAATTTGGGTGTTCCGCATGGCTTGGGTAAAATTTACCTCAAAAGTACAAAATTTTGTAAGAAAAAATGATTAAAATTAATCCACCGACGGAGTGGGAAATTCACACTCAACCAGAATGAGCGGTCCTAATTAAAAAAATACAATGAAAAATTTCTACTAGTTATTTAAACAACTAGGTCCGGTGGAAAAACCCACACCCTCCATCTGTCATCTAACAAATCCATGGGGGCTATCGGCCTAATAGTGGCGGATCTCATGTCAAACACGTCATTTGTATCAAGAAAATACATGACATCCTCTTCCACTTCTCCACGGGCAGAAAAGTGTTGGAAATATGCCCTAGAGGCAATAATAAAAGTATTATTATTATATTTTCTTGTTCATGATAATTGTCTTTTATTCATGCTATAACTGTATTATCCGGAAATCGTAATACACGTGTGAATACATAGACCACAATATGTCCCTAGTGAGCCTCTAGTTGACTAGCTCGTTGTGATCAACAGATAGTCATGGTTTCCTGGCTATGGACATTGGATGTCGTTGATAACGGGATCACATCATTAGGAGAATGATGTGATGGACAAGACCCAATCCTAAGTCTAGCACAAAGATCGTGTAGTTCGTTTGCTAGAACTTTGCCAATGTCAAGTATCTCTTCCTTTGACCATGAGATCGTGTAACTCCTGGATACCGTAGGAGTGCTTTGGGTGTATCAAACGTCACAACGTAACTGGGTGACTATAAAGGTGCACTACAGGTATCTCCGAAAGTATCTATTGTTTTATGCGGATCGAGACTGGGATTTGTCACTCCGTGAAAACGGAGAGGTATCTCTGGGCCCACTCGGTAGGACATCATCATATGCGCAATGTGACCAAGGAGTTGATCACGGGATGATGTGTTACGGAACGAGTAAAGAGACTTGCCGGTAACGAGATTGAACAAGGTATCGGTATACCGACGATCGAATCTCGGGCAAGTAAAATACCGCTAGACAAAGGGAATTGTATACGGGATCGATTGAGTCCTTGACATCGTGGTTCATCCGATGAGATCATCGTGGAACATGTAGGAGCCAACATGGGTATCCAGATCCCGCTGTTGGTTATTGACCGGAGAACGTCTCGGTCATGTCTGCATGTCTCCCGAACCCGTAGGGTCTACACACTTAAGGTTCGATGACGCTAGGGTTATAAAGGAAGCTTGTATGTGGTTACCGAATGTTGTTCGGAGTCCCGGATGAGATCCCGGACGTCACGAGGAGTTCCGGAATGGTCCGAAGGTAAAGATTTATATATGGGAAGTCCTGTTTTGGTCACCGGAAAAGTTTCGGGCGATATCGGTATTGTACCGGGACCACCGGGAGGGTCCCGGGGGTCCACCAAGTGGGGCCACCTGCCCCGGAAGGCTGCGTGGGCCATGTGTGGGAGGGGACCAGCCCCTAGGTGGGCTGGTGCGCCCCCCACAAGGGGCCAAGGCGCAAGGGAGAGTGGGAGGGGGCAAACCCTAGTCCAGATGGGCCTTAAGGCCCACCTAGTGGGTGCCTCCCCTCTCTCCCCCTCCTGGCCGCCGCCCCCTTTGCCATCTAGGGCTGGCCGCACCCCTTGGGGGTGGGAAACCCTAGAGGGGGGCGCAGCCCCCTCTCCCCCTATAAATAGTGAGGCATAGGGCTGCCCATAACACGCGATTTGATCTCTCGTTGGTGCAGCCCTGCCCCTCTCCCTCCTCCTCTTCTCCCATGGTGCTTGGCGAAGCCCTGCGGGATTGCCACGCTCCTCCACCACCACCACGCTGTTGTGCTGCTGCTGGATGGAGTCTTCCTCAACCTCTCCCTCTCTCCTTGCTGGATCAAGGCGTGGGAGACGTCACCGGGCTGTACGTATGTTGAACGCGGAGGTGCCGTCCGTTCGGCACTAGGATCATCGGTGATCTGAATCACGACGAGTACGACTCCATCAACCCCGTTCACTTGAACGCTTCCGCTTAGCGATCTACAAGGGTATGTAGATGCACTCTCCTTTCTACTCGTTGCTGGTCTCTCCATAGATAGATCTTGGTGATACGTAGGAAATTTTTTGAATTTCTGCTACGTTCCCCAACAAAAAGGTACCGCCTGGCCGCCGCCTAGCCCACCGTTGAGTGGTACCCATGTCCCTGTGACCATATCCGCCTCAAACACCTTGATCTTGCGAGTGTGGTCGGTTGGAGTGGATGCTGCAATCAGCCGCTCTCGTTTAACCATGAGCAGTTTACATTGTGACTTGATAAGGTGCCTGCTGGTGTGGACGGCGTCGTACCCTTCTTTCACCCCCTCTTCACATTCAGAAAATGTATCCTCTTCACTGAAAGCCAAGTGTTCGTTGTCACTATCTTCACCGGCGGATTCGTAATGAGCGTCTTCTTGAATCAACGTGTCATGGTTGTCATGTTCACATGATGCCTCGTAGTCTCTCTCAGTGTGTTCGTCGTCGCTCGATGAACCGATGTCATTAGTCAACCTCTTCCACATGTCGGCTTCGTAGTACATATCGTCCTCATGGCCGGGGGCATGGTTGATGATTCGTTTGACACCAGTGATCATGGGCTTGCCATCCTTGTCCTCAGCAAGATGGAGGGCAAAGAGATCGTCGGCCTTGGTGACCACGTAGAGCTCGTCTTGGAAGAATGCAATGTCGCTGATACGAAGGTACATATTGAGTTTCATACGAAAATCAGGAAGATTTGAGTAATCTGGGTTGAAGAACAGAGAGAGAGGGCAGAGGCGATGAATGGGGAATTTTCTGGATCTCTCCCGATCCATCTCTCTCTATTCTCTATCTATATTATATGTACATTTTACACTTGAGCCCTCTGGTAGATACATAAATCTCAACTCACACCAACACCCCCCCTCAAGATGGGGCAAACACATCAGATAAACCCATCTTGCTACAAAAGATAGAGAACAACTTTTCTGGTAGACCTTTTGTTAGAACATCTGCTATCTGACTTGCTGAAGTCACATATTGTACACAAACCACTCCTCGGTCCAGCTTCTCTTTGATGAAATGACGATCAACTTCAACATGTTTAGTACGATCGTGTTGCACCGGATTATTTGCAATATCAATTGCTGCTTTGTTATCACAGTAAAGCATCAAAGGCTTACTATGACATAACCTCAGCTCTGCTAGGAGAATCTGTAGCCATAATAGCTCACATAGGCCATGTGCCATGGATCTAAACTCAGCCTCGGCAGTTGACCTAGCTACAACATTTTGTTTTTTACTTCGCCAAGAGACTAAATTTCTGCCAACAAATACACAATAGCCAAAAGTGGATCGCCGATCATCTAGGGAACCTGCCCAGTCCGCATCTATATAACACTCAACTTGTAAATTCCCTTGCTTTGTATAGAGAAGACCTTTCCCTGGACACCCTTTAAGGTACCGTAGGATTCTATTAACAGCATCCAGGTGAGCCGTTCTTGGGTTATGCATGAATTGACTCACAACGCTTACGGCAAATGCAATATCGGGACGAGTGTGGGAGAGATAAATTAATTTACCCACAAGTCTCTGGGAGCGATCTCTATTAACCGGATTCCCTACATCACTACTTAATCTATGATTCTGTTCAATGGGAGTAGCAGCTGGTTTTGAACCGTACATGCCAGTTTCTTTGAGCAGGTCTAAGATGTACTTCCTTTGTGTTAGAAATATACCTTTTTTGCTACGCAAGACTTCTATGCCAAGGAAGTACCTCAAGTGTCCTAGATCCTTCACTTCAAACTCTTGTGCAAGATGGTGCTTCAGGCCAGCAATTTCCTCGGTATCATTGCCTGTCATCACAATATCATCGACGTAAACTATCAAGATTGCTACCTTGTTATTGGAATGTTTATAGAACAATGTGTGGTCAGCATTGCTCTGTCGATAGCCTCTTTTCAACATAGCTTGTCTAAAACGATCGAACCATGCCCTTGGTGATTGTTTCAACCCATACAAGGAACGATGTAGGCGTAGTACATTTCCTGTATTACGACTGGACTCAAAACCCGGTGGAATTTGCATATACAACTCTTCATGAAGATCCCCATGAAGAAATGCATTTTTTACATCCATCTGGTAGATGCTCCAATCAAAATTAACTGCACAAGATATGAGAGTCCTCACAGAGCTCATCTTTGCAACAGGTGCAAAGGTTTCATCATAGTCTATACCATAAGTCTGAGTGTACCCCTTGGCTACAAGGCGTGCTTTGTATCTATCTATCTTACCCTCTGGGGTGTGCTTAATAGTAAACACCCATTTGCATCCCACCGGTTGCTTACCTGGAGGTAGATTCACGAGCTCCCAAGTTTTGTTTTTCTCCAATGATCTCATCTCATCCAGCATTGCTTCCTTCCATTTTGGGTCTTCCAAGGCTACTTTCCAGTTATTTGGTATAGAAACAAGATCTAGAGAAGCAATAAAACTTTGGAGGGATGGACTACAATATTTGTAGAAGATGTGATTGGCTATATCATGTTTGTAGTCTTTAAGATATCCTGGTGTGTTCCGAGTTCTAGTTGGTCTTCGCAAGGCAATAGGTAAATTGTCTACGGGAGTAGAAAGTTGATTATCACTCTGCCCTGATGTGCTAGTAGGAGCTACAGAATTAGAAGGCATAGTATTGGTACCTGGGCCCTCACGCATTTGAGACTCCTCACCTTGAGATGGAAGTGATAAGTGTCCAGTGACATCGCCCTTGTCTCCATGACAAGAGTTATCATCGCTAACACCATCATTCTCCTCCCCCTGATTTTGAGTGTTATCAGTAGACAGAGAATCACCTAAAGTGGGAGCAAGAACAAGGACAGGCCCTTCACTTCCCCTTTCTTGCTCCTCATCAGGAGGTGACAAGGAAATACCAGACCCAACATTTGACCCATAATACGGTTCATTTTCACGGAAAGTTACATCCATGCTCACAAAAAAACGATGCTCTGAAGGACACCAGCATCTATAGCCGTTTTTTGAGGGGGAATAACCCATAAACACACATTTTAGAGCACGGGGATCTAATTTCCCAATCGAATTTCTATAGTCATGCACAAAACAAACACTCCCAAAGACCTTTGGAGGAACCACAAATTCATTAGAATTTAGAAGACATTCAGCAGGAGTTTTGTAACCTAAAACACGAAGAGGCATGCGATTTATCAGGTAAGTTGCAGTTTTAATTGCCTCACCCCAAAGGAATTTGGGCACATTCATTGTAAACATCAATGAACGTGCAACTTCGAGCAAATGTCTATTTTTACGTTCAGCAACACCATTTTGCTCTGGTGTATTGACACATGATGTATGATGTTCAATACCATTCAAAGCAAGAAACAATTCAAACTCATGATTAACATATTCAGTACCATTGTCTGTACGTAGAATTTTAACAGTAGTTGCATGCTGATTTTTAATAAGGGCACACAAGTCTTTGAAAACAGATAATACATCACTCTTATGCTTCAGAAGATAAAGCCAAGTGTATCGACTAAAGCAATCAATAAAGGTCACAAACCACCGGTGCCCAGAAACTGAGTGAACCTCACAGGGTCCCCACACATCAGAGTGAATTCTTTCAAAAGGTTTTTCACTTCTAAGACCAATACTAGGATAAGAGCCCCTAGTATGTTTAGCTAGTTCACAAGCATCACATACCAGTGCCTCTTTAGGACATAACTTAAATAAAGCAGGATAAACGCGGGATAAAACAGCAAAAGAAGGGTGTCCAAGCCTGCGGTGATGCAACAATAACTCCTGACAGGAAGACAAACATGATGCAAGAGCCACTTCATCACTTCCATCATCAAGATAATAAAGTCCTTCATGCTCGGTCCCAGTCCCCAATTGTTTCCCAGTCCCTAGCTCCTGAAAAGCACAACAAGTAGGATCAAACCAACTTCTACAGTTATGAGATTTATCGATAGAGCTAACAGATAATAGGTTAACTGGAAGCTTGGGAACGTGTAGAACATGAGGTAAAGACAATGACTTGGTGCACCGGATGGATCCACGCCCCGCAATAGGCACCATGGATCCATCTGCTACACGGATTTTGTCTTTACCTGAACAAGGTGTATAAGATACAAACAGGTTTGAAACCCCTGTCATATGATTTGTAGCTCCTGTATCAATAATCCAAGGTTTTGATTTGGTGCTGGTGTTTGCTTGACAAAGGTTCATACCTGGGTGAGAAGTGGCAATTAGATTGGAATCAACCTTAGAAGTGCCTTGGGAGGAAGATGAGCTTTCTGAGAGTTTAAGCTTGGAGTTGAACTCTTCAAGAGCTCGTACATCTACCACTGGTGGCTCCCGTAGAGACGCGGTGTGTTTTGCCTGCCTTCTATTCACACTCTGAACTCCCCCTGTCCGAGATTTTCCTTTTTCCCACCATGATGGATATCCATGCAGCTCAAAACATCCAACCTTTGTATGTCCTTTTCTTTTACAGTGATCACAAAACAACTTGTTTTTCTATCTTGCCAAAGGGCCTGGGAGTATGGCGGTATTGCATAGATAAAGCCACACGGTCATCTCCACATTTTAGATCCTCCTCCTTGGGTTGAGCCAACCGGGTTTCTTCCTCGAGCACACTGGAAATAATATCATCAAGACTGGGCCATTCTGGTTGAGAGAATATGAGTTGTCGTCGAAGGTTAAGCTCCTGATTTAGTCCATCTAGAAACAGCTTGGCCACAATTGTCTCAAACCATTTGTGATGAATGGCCAGATCTTTCTTGTCAACTGGTTGAAAAGGATGATAATAGTGCAGATCCCTGTACAGCCGTTTCAATTCCCCAGCATATTCTGTTACAGACTTTGTACCCTGATTTAGATGAACTAATTCCTCCATAATGCGGGTTGCCTGCATTTTGTTTGATTTCCCAGTGAATTGCTTCTCCAAAGCGGTCCATATTTCAGACACAGTTGACATTATTTCGACTTGTTGTCGCACTACTGGATCCATGCTTCCCAACAGCCATACTAAAACTCTATCATTGATCTGTCTTGTGTGAGTACCATTACTTTTCTGCTTTTCTTCATCATCTACAAGTAGGTTCTCATAGCCATGAGAACTCAGTATCAATTGAGCATGGCGTGCCCAACTGACATAGTTGCCAGGACCTGATAACCTCACTGGATTTGGTTCCAGGGCATACTTAACTGTCTCTGGGACTGCTTTAAGCTGCTGCTGCTCAAGCAATTTACTGAATATTTCATACATTTTTTCTATACTTGAATCCCCTGATTTGTCCTTAGTTTGCTCTGACATTTTCAATGCAAAAGCACACCCCAAGCACACTCAACAATTGTATTAAAGTTCACCACGGCAGTTGCTAATTTGTTGTAGCCTGTAGCACACTAGTCTGATTTAACTTGGCCTCTCCTCTGTTTGTGATGGAGACCTCACGCAAGACAATATGTGCCAAATAAAAAACTTGGAGATGAACCAGCGGCTTGATAGGTACCAGGAAGAAGTAGGACAGCACTTTGGGGATGAAGTTGACCACGTCGCAAACCACTTGAGACCAAACCAGAGCAGCGTTGTAGACCTATGTCCGGGTCCAGCGGCGGTGGTGCAGCACCTCACTCCGGCGGACTGCAGAGTGCAGAGGGGATGAAGACAGAGACGCGGACAGATCACAGCACCACACACGACAACAACAACCGCACGCTCAAGACTACGGCGACACAGCACCTCGTCGGCGGCCAATCTGCGCTCAAAATTGCAGGGAGAGCGCAAAGGAATGAACCTGCTCCGATGCCATATTGAGTTTCATACGAAAATCAGGAAGATTTGAGTAATCTGGGTTGAAGAACAGAGAGAGAGGGCAGAGGCGATGAATGGGGAATTTTCTGGATCTCTCCCGATCTATCTCTCTCTATTCTCTATCTATATTATATGTACATTTTACACTTGAGCCCTCTGGCAGATACATAAATCTCAACTCACACCAACAGTACATCATGGCCAATAGCCTTGGCACCCACACTCCCTTCCCCGGTCGGCACAGGATCAGAGGGTACTTCCATATGTTACCGGTGACCGCAACGAGGTCGTCGGGGGTCGAGCGCATGAGCACCTTGCGGGTCTCGAACTCGTCCGGAACCTCGACGATGACGGAGTCCAGCTCCGGCAGCGGCACGGTGGCGCCGGAGAAGTGGTTGTGCAGCGCGTACCTGTGCGCCCGCGTGACGTTGTCCGTGGAGTCGAGGGCGATCCACTCGTTGGTGGATCCTACGCACCTGGTGTTCTTGGGCAAGGGGAGGCGGTGGACGGCACCATCGCAGGGCGTCAGGTAGTGGCCTTCCTCGAGGACGATCCACGGAAGCCGCCGCCGAGGGGAGACGTGCTGGCGCACGGCCGAGCGCCACGAGCGGCACACGGCGCGCAGACGGGCGCGGTCGGCGATGTGCGGGAGGCGGGCGATCACCTGGCCCAGGAGATCCGGCAGGAGGGTGGTCCAGTTCGGAGCGGACGCCGCCATGGACGGGGATCAGATCGCAAGCGTGCGAACTGCAAGGGAGGAAATTGCGTCTGTGCTGGGCGAGGGGGCGACAAATATGTAGTGTCAGCTGCCAAGATTGCCCGGTTGTGATCCGAGTCTGATCGGGGTCGGACTCCGACCGTGTCCTGGCTTACCGTGCCTGCCAGCCCATATTTCTCTGCCCTCTGCCTGCACCAGGGTGGTCGGGCATCGGCTGGGTTCCAAGCTTCCAGAGCAAATTTCTCTGGTGGACTACCGAGCTAGCGTACATTTTTAGTTTTTCAGTCCATTGGGTATGGAACGGACGCCATGGCGGAGCTCCTAGCTAGGTCGATGGCGGGGCTGTAACTTCCGATGTAGCGGCTCTGTCGCGTTCCTTGGCACGAGCACGGTAGAAAAAAGAAATTGAACCATGAGCACGAGCGCAACCTCCACCACGGAGACGCCACGATGCAGTGCGGTCGCAGAGCCGCAAGCCCTAGACTTGTTGCGCACAACCATTTCATGTAGCCGCATGGCATTTTTTCCGCGAGTACATAAGGCCCTGTTTGGTTCCAAATAAGTCACCAACTTATAAGTTGAAAAGTGCAAAAAGTGACTTATTTTGCCAAACGGACCTAACTTATAAGTCACCCCAACTTATAAGCCATAAGTTGCTCCACCCCAACTTAAAACTTATAAGTCACCCTCTTTTACATGGGTCCTACCACCTTTACATAAAAAACAAGATGGAAAGGTGTGCTCAGGTGACTTATAAGTCAAGTGACAACCAAATAGGCTTGACTTATAAGTCACTGATTTTAAGTCACATGACTTAAGTCAGGTGACTTATTGGAACCAAACAGCCCCTAAATATTGGATATCATTACATTGATAGGTAAACAAATGTACAACAGTGATATAAAGAAGACATTTCGCAAAAAAAGAGAGAGTAAAATAGAGAAGAGGAGAGAGAAGAGGAGAAAGAAGAGAGGAGTGGGCACCACAATATTCGTGTGCATGAGCACAAGAAGAGATGCTCAACCTTCGAGGAACCAACTAGTTAAACTCGCCTTGCCCATTCTCAGGCCACAAATAGCGTAGAAACAGTATAGAGAGCACGCATGTAGCGTCACAACCAAAACCAAACACCTCGGAAGCATGTCCATAACATCGAGTCGTACTAGGTCAGAGGCAGCGCACATTCCATTCAAAGTGTCTAGAGACGACAAGTGAACAACAGAAACCAGCCGGATCCAGGGAAGATATCTTCTAAGAGGTGTAAGAACAAACAAGACATCGAAGATATCAAGATGCAATGCCTATGCCAACACCAGCGGAGCAGCCTATGCGAATAAAGAGTGCTGCAAGTTGATATACCACTACTTCCCGGTTTACACATGTGTAGGTATGGACGAGTTAGTCTCTGAGTACAACCCAAAGAAGAGTCAGAGTCGTTTCAAAAACATGGACTTGAACCGCCAAAGAATCACACACATAGAAGATTTGTCAAGAGTATTTTCTATTTTGTTGTGGAGATACCCCTACAACATTCCTTTTTGCGGGGAATATGCTTACAACATTATTCGAGTAGTTCTAGTGGCTAATGATTTTATGGGTTCTACTAATCAAATAACATACACATAGCAAATATTACAATTCCCAAATTGTGAAGCTAACATTCAATGAACAAATGAAACAAAATGAAAAATACCTGTCAAAATAGGTTGGGGACACATACTGCGTGCGTGTGCGTAACTATTTTGTGGTTTGTGGTTGTGTGTATGTGTTTTCGTTTTGATGGTAGAAATATCATGTGTTCTTGCGGTAGCTTGGTGAACACGGAAAAATGGCAGCTAAACTATAAATTATTTGTTTCTTTGGCTCAGGCTTACTATTGATCAAAATTTGGGACTTCTGACCTAATTCGGGCTTGAAAGTTCAAGGTTGAGCTTTTTAAACCTGGCTGGCCTAAGTAATGCTTAAGTTTATCCCCAATGCACAACATCACCGAGAAGAGGGTCCATGATGTCGTCGGTTGTCGTAAATGATTTATGAATTTGGCATGCTTTTTTTTTGCAATGTCGGGTTCTCACAATGACATCAATGTGCTTCAAAGATCTCCCGTGTTCCGGAGGCTTTGTAATGGGAATCGCCATCGTGCAACTACACCGTCAACGACCGCGACTACAACGTGGGATACTATCTTGTCGATGACATCTATCCTCAGTGGACGGCGTTTGTGAAGATCATATCCGAACCACAAGGCAACAAACAAAGCCACTTTGCAAAAATGCAGGAAGCAACTAGGAAGGATGCGGAGAGGGTATACAGAGTGCTTCAAGCTTGTTGGAAAATTGTTCGTGGAGCTGCAATGATATAGGAATCAGAAATTTTGTGACAGGCGGTGACATTTTGTATTATTTTGCACAATATGATTGTCGAGAATGAGGATGATGTGTAGCCCAAACCAATGGTTTTGAAGCGTATAGAGGACAAGTCCAAATCCCGGAAATCAAGATGCAAATCAGTTTATGAACTTTCTGCAAATTCATCATAATCTTCGAGATCATCAGGAGCACGCACAATTACTTAGTGATCTTGTGGAGCTTATGCTGACCCATAATGAAAATCAAAGAGGTAACGTTTGAGTTGTACACTTAATATAAATATTATGTAAGAACTATGTATTTTCACTACCAACATTTGTTATTTATGCGTGAGAATGGCGTGTATGATGAATTTGCATGTGTTTGAGTCTGGATTTAAGGTATGCGACTGGTGGCAGGACATATGAGGGGCTGTCCAACTACGTCCGCGGGCACATCCGAGCGTGTCTGTGGACGTATAGGGAGGCGGATTTGCCAGGTTAGGTTATAAATGCTCTAAGAACAAAAACGGAACAACTGAGATAGGAAAGACCACAATACTTGGTGAAGTATGTGTGAAGTCAACATTCATAGCAATGCACTTATGACGGAGAAAGAAACAAATAAATATTCTATTTGACATTTTTAGACAACTAGGTTAGGTAGGAAAACCCACGTCGCCCTCCACTGGTCATGTAACGGGTTCATGTGCATTAACAATCAAATTGTCTTGGATGTGATGTTAAATACTCCCTCCGTTTCAAAATATTTGTCTTTCTAGAGATTTCAACAAGTGACTACATACGGAGCAAAATAAGCGAATCTACACTTTAAAATATGTCTACATACATCCATATGTTGTGTCCATTTGAAATGGCTAGAAAGACAAGTATTTTGGAACGGAGGGAGTACATCATTAGTATCGGGGAAATAAATGACATCCTCTTCCACTTCTCCGCAAGCAGGAACTATGTTGCTGAAGCAATAGCCGATGAATATTGCCTTGCCGTCACCGAACCTACTGCTCGTGGGTATCCATGCACATGCATCCATGTCCGCCTCAAACACTTCGACCTTGCGAGTGTGGTGAGTTGGAGTCAAGGCTGCAATTAGTCGTTCTCGCTTAATCATGAGTAGTTTACCTTGTGACCTGACAAGGTGCCGGCTGGTGTGGACGGCGTCCCACCCTTCTCTCACACCGTCTTCACATTCAGAAAAAGTATCCTCTTCCATGAAAGCTAAGTGTTTCGTGTCACTATCACCACCGACCAGTTCATCGTGAGCGTCTTCTTGACTCAACACTTCGTTGTTGTCCTCTCCACCCAATGCCTCATCATCCGAGTCTTCCTCAGAGTCCTCGTCACTTGACGAATCGATGTCGGTCAACCTCTTCCACATGCCGACGTCATACATATCGTCCTCGTGGCCGGGAGCATGCCTGATGATCCGTTTGACATTGGTAACAATGGGCTTGCCATCATCGTCCTCAGCAAGATGTAGTGCAAAAAGGTCCTCGGCCTTGGTGATCGCATAGAGCTTGTTGTCTCCAGAAAACATAATGTCACAGATACAAAAGTAGGGCATGGCCAATAGCCTCGGTACCCAGACTCCTTTCCCAGGTCGGCATAGAATCAGAGGGTACTTCCATGCATTACACGTGACGGCGACAAGGTCTTGGGGTGTCGACCGCATGACTACCTTGCGGATCTGGAATTCCTCCGGAACCTTACTGATGATGGAGCCGAGCTCTTTTTTACCGATAAAAGGGCCACATGGCCCATATTTTCATTAAGAAAATAGAAGTCTAGATACAACCATCACACCACTTTTTTCCATCAGACCTGATGCATCACCTCATCAACTGATAAGCAACCTACATCCTAAACATATAACCATATTTATAGGATGCCAAATCACCCACTACCGGAGAGAGAACAGACTTTTAAACATCTTTTACAATTTGCACATCAGCCAAAACAATAGTTCAAACATACTACAGAAAAGCCTATATGTGTGTGTCTGCGTAGCCCCGTCTTTACAGTCGAGGGCGATCCAGTCGCCAGTAGAGCCAACACACTCTGTGTTATTGCCGAAGGGTGCGCGGTGGATGCCGCCGTCCGAGAGCGTCAGGAAGGTGCCGTCGAGAAGGACGACCGATGGGAGCCGCCGCCGAGGGGAGACGTGCAGGCGCACGGCC